TGGGAGGGCGACCCACAGTCGCCGTCCAAGTTATTACAAGTACCAGTACAAGCCACGTTGTTCATTGGATTTCTCCAATCCCCACTTCAAGCAGTGTTTAAGACCCAATGCGATTCCAATATACTGTTTGGTTCATATTCATATGGACTCGCATGGTCGATGATGACAATCCGCAATATAAAACAAGGACATCAACCAAACATCATCTATAAAAAATATGCCCCTATATGGAGGTTTCTTAAGTCATGGGGGTATCCCTAAATCATCCGTTTTATTTTCGGATTTTCCATGAAATACACCAACCAGCTATTGGCTATTGGGGTATCCGCCATGACTATGGAAACTCCATTTCATTGTCAATAAATCCTATTATCTATAGATATATCTACCATAAACATCCATAAACCATAGCCAACCTTACAAATCAACTTGATGGTTACACGCCCACCGTTTCAATGGTAAAAATCCCCTCTCAACCGGCGCATTAAATTCAGGACACCAGAGCAGGCAACACAATGAACCCACCCATAGTAGATCCTCAGGGTCGCTAGAGTTTCTAATGGCTATCTAATGGTTGTTTTATGGCTAGTTGGTGGTTTAAAAAGTTGCTATTCAATGCCTAATGAATGGCTATCTAATGGCTGTGTTATGGCTATTCAGTCGATATTCAATGGCTATTTTGCGGCTACTTAATGGGATAAACGTGACTATTTTGGTGACATATAGGTCTTCACCAACGAAGTTCTTGGGGTGTTATTGATATATAATGGTTGGATAAATGGGATAGCCAGCCGTTCTTGCTGGCCCCAGTGATGCCCCATTGTTATGCAGGGGTTGAACTCCCGGGTTCGGGAAGTGCAGGTGACACTTACCTCACTGGGAATACCATGGCTTGATGTTGCTGGAAAAGATTAGCCTTAAACCAATCCAACATTTGATGGCATCTGTTTCCATTTGAGTATTATTAAAAAATATTACGATTACATAGTTTCAAAGGTCACCATGGTCAACAGACTGGCCTAAATCCATCCTTGAAAAACATGTGTCAACAATGTTTAAACATCAGTGGCTCCATGTTTTGATGGCGTCGTGTGTCCCTCATCTTAAATCGCTCACTTGCAGCGTTTTTTTAGTATTCAGCATCGAGATTCTAAGGTCAGAAGCACAGCAACAGAAAACAGGAGTGATCATTGCTATGTTATGATGGTAAAACAATGATAATATGATATGGAAGCACCATATTTTACTGGAATGATCATCCTCTAATTCATGATACAATGTTTACCATGTTATTTTGTGAAAATGAAAAAGTGATTGAAAGTGATTGATACAAATACAAGGAGTTCCTGCAATGCAAGGGCCACGAGCTGAGATCCCAAGTTTCCTGGCGATATTTCCAATGACTGGGCCACCAAAAACAATTTCCGCAGATTTTGGTTCGACCCAAACACCCCAACGATAGCGGTTTGACCCTACCTGGCTATAGTTGAAATGTTGCGTATCTCATGTGATGATTGAACATGTGGATGCAAATTCCAACATCGAACCTCGATGTTGCTTTTTCAGTGGCTTTTCGTCATCCAAGCACCATTCAACCTGGCTGTACCCACATCTGTCAAAGAGAAGTGATATGGAGATCAATCTCAGTCCATTGGATGTACTTTGTCACCTCTCTATCATAGATATCATTATAATTTTGTATATATATATACATGTATAATGTATCATGTATACATATATATATATATGTACATAATATTATATGTGCATTATATCATAATATTATACATATTTGTATATGTTATATGTGTAATCTGTAAACAATATTGCAGTAATATGTAATCTGACCGACATCGACATCATTCTCCGCCAAGAATCTGATGTCGTATTGCCGGCAGCCCTTGCATCAATGGCATTGATATTGCAGTAAGCGTCGAACAAGACAATAAGAGCCATGAGGTGTGTAGAGCACCTCATAGCTTCGCTGGACTCCCGCTGATCTGGAATGATCCGATCTGCAAATTTTATAAAACGGCACCGTTTTAAAGAGGCCCTTCAGCGTTTTTTGGGAAGCTGGAAGATGAAAGGGACATACAGGATTCATTGCAACTATAGTATACTATACCCAATAATAGTTTTCACTATAGTATCCACATACTGGTATTATAGTGACTATACACAATACCAGGATCATCTGTGGGTTTGTGGATCATCATCCCAGTCTTACGTAGCGCCTGAGACTGTCCCCGAAGCCTGACTTGGAGGGGCAATTTAGCATGGCCAATCTTAAGTAATTAAAGTACACTTCAAAACACAAAATCTCTCATAAACGTGTCACATTTATCCTCGTTTCCATCGCCCATATACTAAATTCTTATAACATGGGAGTCGATCAACATTGCGCAACCCAATGTTATTGGAAAGGTTCGTAATGTCAAACGCAGGTCAATGAACTGTGGTTGATCAACTAGGGGGCTACCTCGAAAAAAGTGATCATTTACTCTGCTCATAGAATTACACCTCCAAAAAGCAAACAGCCCAGGAGTTTTAGTCTAGGTTGACATTATCAAAAAATGACTAACAATTTGCTTCCCTGGCTTCAAAATCTTGATCAACACCCCCAATAGGTTCGTTGATCAACAGGTCGCCATGTTTTCTGGCTGAATCTCTGGGGTTGAATCCGAATTTCCCACACGTTTTACGGTCTAGTGTGGTAAACCGCAAACTCCGTAAACCCAATCATAAATCATCCAGCCAGCCATGCCAGGTACTACCATAAATGAGAAATGGATATAAATGGATGGTAAAAGTCATCACCAACGGGTTTGTTGTTGGGTTTACCACAAAAAAAAAACATGGTTTCCCACACTGCCAGGTTTGAATGGGATCAAAGAGTGTTTCACGCTGCGAATGGGATCCCTTTGCCGCGCCACGGGCTCTGGCTGAAGCGACGAGCGTGATGACGCAGCCAGCCACAGCAAGTAGAGGTTGGCATTGATTCCTGGGTGGGGGAAAGTTCTGATTGATATGATATATATATATATATTACATGTGTATGTGTATATTATAATGATACAAATACCCTCTGGTAATTTAACATAGCTATTGAAAATGGCCATTTATAGTGGATTTTCCCATTAAAAATGGTGATTTTCCATAGCTATGTTAAATTACCAGAGGGTAATTCCCTATGGTAAATTCACAGTTTGACCCTGAAAATCACCAAAATATCAGTGGAAGTTAATCTTCCAACCCGTATCTGGCAGGGTCTATACTAGTTTAGTGGAGGGTAATAATAATGTAATAATATTGGTATTGATATATTATAGCTTATCATAGAACATATTTATTGTTAAAGAATTGTTATTATATACATACACACACATATGTGTAAATGGCCATACTGTATAAATTGTTGTTGCACCTTGATGCAGTTCATAATTCACCTAAAAAAAATATGATTCATCTTATCCAACCAATGGAACATAGACTGCGTATTCAGATGTTTTCAGTGTGAAATACATACAATGATGACATACAATATAGTTTTTTTTGGTGTATGTGTAATACTCCAATTCTTTAGGTACTCAATTATTTAGTATATGGGGATTTCCATAGTCATGGGGTATACCCAATAGCTGGATGGTTTATGGATCCAAAAATAAAATGGATGATTCTAATGAAAGAAAATGGATGATTTAGGGCTACCCCCATGACTTAGGAAACCTCCATATGATATTGTGAGATATTGTGAGATACTTCCGGCGCCAGGCTGTTCTTCACCCGGAAAACTCCGCCTGGCGGCCCGTTTGTTATGGCCACAACAAGGGTTTTTTAACCTGGCGAATCCTAGATACTTGCCAAGAAAAGAAAAAAACCTTTTTAGCTGGTGAATGTACATGTGGAAAACTATTGAAGTAACAATTTTAGGTTGACCCAGTTAAGTGCTTCGAAAACATGGAAATTATTGTTTGAATCATGTTGAATCATGTTGAATCCCTTTTTTACACCGGGCATTGAACGGTGATTTTTTCTGGGATGCTGTTTCTTACTGGGTATACTGTTCACCACATTAATGCTCATTAATGGATATAGCTGAAAAATATTGCGGATCTCGCTGGCACACTGGCTACCTGGATCAAGCCATGAATCATCATCCACCGTGGTTGTCTCAACGTTAAATAGAAGAGCTTCCTTGTCGTTTCCAGGCTTGCGAAAAACCTCAATGGAATAATCTTTAGAAACCATGGTCTTTACCTCGAAAAAAATAGATGTCCTTTCCGTGAACCGGGAAAGGAACATGTTCAGCTGCAGACTGCAAAATCAAAGACTGCTTATGTTTCATCCGTGATCCACAAATGCTAAATCATCCATCCAATCATCCATCCAATCATCTCATCCAATCCTTAGTTAAGCATTTTCCAAAAACCTTCATTCCCGATCTAAGAATCATCCAATCCTTAACTTCGATGATCAAGTCATTGGCTTGTTTTCGGGCCCGCCTTGATCATCCTGACCTCGGTGAAAAAGATGAAAAAGATGTTCAAAGGATATATTATATCGATGTTCTGAACTTGTAACTAGGTTATAAAATTGTGAACATATATTGATATATTAATATATTGATATATTGATATGTAATATGTGTATATATATATACATGTATACGCATATGGTATTGGAATATATTGTTGCAAATGATATTCTGCCATCTGCAGCTAGGACCAGGAAGATCTTATGAGCTTATGAGCTTCTCCGATTCTCTTTTCTTTGCCATGGATGGGTGCCCGCATGTTCTGCCAAAGGGCAACAACCTTAGCGAATACTTTGGCACTTGGGTAACTTGGGTATGGAGCAAAATCATGATTTCCAGCCCCTAAAACATCCATTTGTATCTATTTGTCAGCTGGGGACACGATCCCAAGTAAGCTATGGACCATCAACCATCCGTATTTTGGGGGATGAACATCCATGGACAGTCGGCGCGTGTCGGCGTCTTTTTTTGTCGCTTTTAAGTCATGGTGATGAGATGTTCATTTCAAAGTTGCCAATGCGGGGATGAAACAAATTAGCACCGCACCTAAGTGCATTTCCGCAATCGAAAAAAGCGCTGCCAACTGCAGCTTCACTGAAAACGTCGGGTAGTGACATCCATATCAGAAGCATTCGGGCCACTCGGGCCATTCAGCAACTCAGGTGGCAATTCCTCTGCCTTTCCCTTGCACCGGGCCTGAAGGTCTGTAACATCTGCCTCAGGGCCATTCACCACTTCCTTGTGACACTTTGCCGTACTGAAAATGTGATTTTGGCATGCGGACCACTTGGCAAAGCAAGTATTGCAGCAGGGGCAGGCATATCTCGTCACTGCCACCAGTGAAGCCAAAGCTTCTGGTTCACAAAATTTGTCAGCTTCAGAGGTTGGGAGTTCGCTTGAAGCTTTTGGATCCGGATCATTTTGGAAAACTTCAGAAAACTTGGCATTGAGATCTCCTGTGTCCTTCGAGACTGTATACCCAGCACCTTCCACTGCTTGAAGACTCCAAGGTTTGATGTTTGCTTCCTCCGTCTCAGTATCTTCAGCAGGCCTTGCTGGAAGTCCCGCAAGTCCCGGAAGTCCCCGAAGTCCCTCAGCGGCTATATAATTGGCATAGCCTTGCCAAGGCCAGGCTGCATTTTCATTTGAGGTCTCTTCCATCACAACTTGTCTCTGACTCTCATGCTGGCCATTATGGCCATTCTGGCCATTGGACCACTCATCATACTCATCATGTCCATTCCAGCCAACCCAGCGGACTGATCTTTCCCATTGCGAACCATGTTTGTCACGATCCCACTTGCGATCATAGTTCTCATAGTTCTCATAGTTCTCATAGTTATCATTGTCGTAGTTCTCCTTGCGCCAGCTGTCAGACCATCGCTCTTTCCGAGATCCACCAGACCAGTCGCTGGACCAAGGGCTGTTCCTCCATTCGTCAGACCGGTAGCCGCCACCGTTGCCACTGCCACGAGACATCCACTCGTCTTTCCACGGCCGGTAGCGATCACCTGAACCATCACGTGAACTATCACCTGAAGCGGTGACGCCGGTGACGTGAGCTTTTCCCGGCGTTTCGGAGCTCCTCCATCCGTGATAGACCTGAGAGTCCCAGGGCGGAAAAATGTCCATGGTGGGCAGGCGGGTTCCATATTCATCAAAGACCATGGGCTTGCAATCCTCAGGGATGTTGGAATTCACCCAATCATTCAACTTTTGCTGTTTCTGGATGTTCGCCTCATATCCCTGGATAGAGGACCATTGAGCCCTGCAGGTGCGTTCACTGAAATGCCCTCCGGGCCAAGCGCTGTAGCCTGCAAAATGCCGCTGGCATTCCACCGCCTTGTCATGGTCTCGGAAATTGATGTATGCTAGGCCGGTATTCTCAAACTTGTCCATGTCCATGGGTAAATAGAAATAGTCATAGCAACCAAGATATTCCTCATCCAGAAGTGCCAGCAGAATTTCGGCATTTAAGGTCTTGGGCACACCTGTGAGAACTACAGTGGTCTCGTCCCCATCAGAATGCCATCCCTTGCCGCCACCTTTCCAGCTGCCTTTTCGACTCATCGCTTCAACCGGTCTTTCTCAGGAAACACGTCGGACGTTTGACGACGTGTCTCAACTGAATTAAATGCAGTGATGCCTTACCAAAGGCCGAACATTTTAAGTTCAATCTTGTTTGAACTGTTTGAACCATCAATTGCTGAGGCAAAAAGTGTGTGGTCTGTCGCAGAATTGGTCAATTCCAGGAGGGCTGACCTTTCAGGCCACAGCTTGTCTTCCGGTCTGGACTCACGTCTGTCAATCCAAAACCTACACCTTGGTTTACCCTCGAAAAATCAGCATGTTTTTGTTGATGATCTGTATAATATGTATATGAATATGAATATGTATATCTATATATAAATATACAAATATATAATATATTAATATATAGTATTTATATTTATATCTACATGTGTGTGTAACACATCTTTATCCACTCCAGTTGAAACTCCCCATGTGGGCCGATTGGTCAAACCCAATAGGGACCTCAGGATAATCAGGTCACCTGACTGCGACATGTGCTGCGGACACTGATAAAAACATATAAACTTCACAGGCAAAAAAATATAAACAGCTCCTTTTACATATTATATATATATATTATATATACAATTATATTATATAATTCAATTGATGCTATCTTATGTTGGCTGGCTTCCCAAATGTCATACAACCACATAAATATCTTATGATATAATGAATACTTATATACTTCAAGGGATATCGTCACTTTCGTTACAGCTTCCTTTTTCAGAAACGGACGTCTTTTTTGATGATTTCACCCAACAGACAATCCGAGGTGCAGGGAAGCCGACGCAAACGTCCTGCACGGATTGGTGAATAACTGGGTTGCAGTTGGGGATAACGTCGGAATTATAAATCATAGGTATATAATCATGGGTATATAAATCATGTTTCTGAAAATCATGGGTATATAATTATGGATAATCCATGTTTATAAATCCATTACGTTGGATTTATAAAAGGATATAGCATGATATAACCCCCCAATGATTGTGGTTATTTTTTGTGCGAAAAAAAATACTTATTGACTGGAAGTGTAAGCCCTATGGATAGGTCAACATGTAAGGTGCCCATAAGAATTGAGAGAGCCATTACTAGGACCGAGTGTGAGTTCCCAGGCCGCAAAGTTTGCATGCACCACATGGGTATGGGTGAAAAATTAAGGCTCAGCAACCCACATTGCTTGGTCAATTCTTGTATCAAAGCAACCAAGTTTGCCAAGTGCCCCATCCAGCTATTGTCTCCAGAAACCAGCAACAAACACAGTTGGAACACTATCTGACTGAATCTATCCACAAAAAAGGGTTGGGATCTGCCTGTCAGCATGGCTTAGATAACTGCCAACAATAATAGTTGTCTAGTGCTTAATACTCATCTATCCCTGAAAATTAGACCCTTCAGCTACCCAAGTGGAACTACTCATACTCGATGTGGAACTAGTGGCTATGCGTAGGCCTTAAGGCTTACTCTTTGTGGTTTGTTGATCCCCGGCTACTGTAAAGTTTAAATTTCAGTGGGATAATTTGTAAACCCATCTAATGCCAAAAAGTCAACAATCAAAGTGTGTAGGCATAGTCCATCAAGTATCTTCATGTTTGCAAACATTCAGAAAGGCATCCAAGCAATATCCATGATTCAATCATATTGAATATCATATATTAAAGATTATAAATGGATATCATATAATTAAGTATCATATATTTTCCAAGCAAGATCCATTATAATTACCATTGAGTATCCTTTTCGGTGGCATTCAATGTATAACCGGGAGGCCCAAGGAGGTCCCTCGGGGTTTTTTTCGGGGTCCCTCGAGCCTTCGTCGAATCGTCCAATCGTCCAATCGATGCCAGGCCACGTCGAGAGGGGAGGAGGTTTCCCCTTTTGGGGGTAATGTCAACCCAATGATCCAAGTCATATTGGGTGATAAACCAGATATTTGGGAGCGACCAGTGGTGCAACTAATATGAATGGGAATGGTATTGCATTGATAGATCAACCTATATATGTATATAATGTGGTTAAAACAGTGTCATAAACCATCCCCAAGTCATCACCATAATTTAATGGGTGGTATAGACAATTCTCAAGGAAATGGGTAGTTCATGACATTGTTTTAACCACATTAGACTGTGACTTTAGTATTGAAACATGTTATGAAACCCATGACTTGGGGATCCCAATTTTAGGAAACCCATGGAAACCCCCAATGATATTTCTTGAGTCTGTGGCTTGCAACTTCATGGTTGATCTTTGCCCAACCAGACCCGTTTTGAAAAAGCCAAGACTCTGTGCTGCTTGTGGTGCCGCGGATAAAATCACTTTGCAACTGCAGTTGGGTTTTGCCACCTGTTTCAAGCAGGGAGGTCCCTGGGTGGCTCAGCCATCAAGCCGCTAATGTTTGACGCGGGAAACCCTCGAGAAATGGTTTGCTTAAACACATGTTGTTTCTTGGATGTTCTCAGTGAATCAAGTTCTCCACCATAGATGGCTCTGTGTAGTATTAATGCTTTCTCTCTATGTATCTCTAAATATATATATATATTATACACACACTTTTAAAATGTATCTATATACATACATATACATACATATTAGTATGTCCATATCAGTATATCCATATGTTTATGCCCATATATATATAATTATATATATACATAATATGTACACATATATGAGTCTATCCGCGCCTGAGGTTTCTCGTTCTGTCCTGCAACCTCACCAAGTCGTCGACCGTTTCGGAGAGCCCATACTGAAAAAAATGGGATAAGCCTCTTTTTGGACTGAAAGAATCCCTCGGCTTTTTCACCAATTTTTTGGGATCACCACATTTCACCAATTATTGGGATGATCCTCCTTTTGGAGGGGTCATTTCACTTATGCCATATCCCTGAATTTTGGGATATAACTTCTTGGATTTGCTGGTTCGGGCGGGCCGTTTAAAAAAACAAAAACAAACGGTTTCCCAAATGATAGACTTTAGAATGCGAAACTTCATAAATAACATTGATATGATTGCTGGTTGGTGGTTTCAACCCCCTTGAAAAATATTAGTCAGATTGGATCATCATCCCAACTATTGGGGAAAAGAAAAAATGTTCCAAACCCTGGTTGGGATGTAATGTTACAAGTGGGGCTGTGACACTGGTGGGGCCTTCCCAATGATAGGTGACTGGTAAGTAGTCAAACTGATTGGCTTATGGATTCTATATTTGCGGTTGGGACAACACAAACCAACAGCCACATAACTTTGGGGTCCCCATGGATTCCCTTCCAGTGAGGATACTCAACCTGAAATAGCAAAGAAGATCCTGCAGAAGTTGTATTTTTTTAAAGGACTGGAAGGGGATTCATGCTAAATCCCACAAAATAATGCTTGGTGTTCATCGGGAATTCCAGCTCATGGATTATGATAATCCCCACCATGGATCCGTTGAACCGTTCACTTCGATTCTTCGGTTTGCCTAGAGTTGCCAAGGCAAAGGCAACAAACTATAGCCTCCGCTAAATTAACATACATAGATGTGGAAAAATTAACCATTAAAAGCACGATTTTCCTGGGGAAACCATTGGTTTTCCACATCTATGTTGATAATTAAGAGTAATGATACCCTTTGGTCAATAAATTAACACAGACCCTTTTTTTTGTAGTTGAAACTAATCTTCCAACCCGTATCTGCCAGCGTCTATGTTAATTTACTGGAGGGTAACATATGTGCCAAATAGATTTCCCTAAATTCTGGATTAAGCAATTGGAGAAACATATTGAGCAAAGCCAATATCAGGTTAAATCATGTAAATTCCATGATATTGTTTGAATTGATGAATCTGGAGGTTCCCATCTGTCATCTTTACATGTGTTCCTATGATTTTTGCTGGTTTTCACTGATTTTTGACGATCTGGAGCACTTTTCCTTGCTATGTGCTGCGTCTTGGAGCTAAAACATGCAATTTGCTGCATATTGAAGCTAAAATCGTTCATGTACGTTTTTCATCATGTTGTCTGTGGTTTTCATTGATTCTTGCATGGTGTTCATTGATTTTTCCACAGTGTTCATTGTTTTTACATGGTGTTCATTGTTTTTCCATTGTTTTCATTTATCTTTTAATGGTTTTTATTGTTTTTTCCACTGTGTTCATTGATTCTTAGATGGTTTTGATTTATATAATCATGCTGGAATCATGAATATTGTCGATCGTGTTGATCTTGTTGATTCTTGGTTGGCATCCATTCCAATGAACATGTACATGCAGAGATCGATGGTTTTTCATCGCCAATTGGTCTCAAATGACTCCGCGAGTCATCAGGAAGTACCACCTTCGAAAGACGTTTCGGAGGTCTGATGTGGATGTGTAGCTAGATACATCCAGGGCTTGAAAGTTGTTGGAGGTAGAAGTCCCGACCCAGTTCCAACCAAATGAGGCATGATGATACATAATGATATGTATGGATGGATGGATGGATGGCTGGCTGGCTGGCTGGCTGGCTGGCTGTCTGTCTGTCTGTCTGTCTGTCTGTAAAGTATGTATGCATGCATGCATGGATGGATGGATGGGATGGATGTAATGGATGTAATGTTATGCAATGTTATGTAATGTTATGTAATGTTATGCAATGTTATGCAACGTTATGGAATGGTATGTAATAGTATGTAATGGTATGTAATGGTATGTAATCATATGTAATGTTATGTAATGTTATGTAATGTTATGTAATGTTATGTAATGTTATGTAATGTTATGTAATGTTATGTAATGTTATGTAATGTATGTTATGTATGTAATGTATGTAATGTATTTAATGTATGTAATGTATATAATGTATATAATGTATGAAATATATATATAATGTATGTAACGTAACGTAACGTAACGTAACGTAACGTAATGTAACGTAACGTAACGTAATGTAATGTAATGTAATGTGTGTGTAATGTATTTAATGTATGTAATGTATGTAATGTATGTAATGTAACGTAATGGAATGGAATTTAATGTAATGTATGTAATGTAATGCAAGGTAATGTAATGTAATGTAAGGTATGGTATGGTATGTATGCATGCATGTATGTTTGCATGTATGTATGTATGCATGCATGTATGTATGTATGCATGTATGTATGTTATGTTATGATATGATATGTTATGTTATGCTATGTTATGCAGCATGCATGCATGATGCATGAATGGATGGATGGATGGATGGATGGATGGCTGGCTGGCTGGGTGGGTAGGTGGGTGGATGCATCTATGCATCTATGCAGCGATGCATGCATGCATGCATGTATATGTATGTATACATATGTATGTATACGTATGTAGACATATGTATACGTGTGCATACGTATGCATACGTATGCGCATATATATAGATACATAACTATTTGTATATATATATGTATAATTTATATATATATACGTATATGTAATTATGTGTACTTATGTGTATGTGTGTGTATATATAATATTTGAATGTGTATTTATATACATATGTGTATATATGTATACATATGTATACATGCGTATGTATACATATATATATATATGTATATGTATATGTGAACAATTATTTATTTTTGCAGGGTAGATAGATATCAACCACCATGGGTTTTGTGAGGGTAAAACCATGGGTTGATTTGAGGGCAAATCTAGATGAAACCATAGGTTTTCCCATAAGCTGTAGTGGTTTCCAGCCAAACGTCCCTTCAGCCTATTCTCAGAATTTGACAACCATCAATTCACTTTAATAGTCATCGAGTCATCCAACTGTAAATCATCAGACGAAGTACCAGGCATTTCTGGGGCAGCTCGATTCTGGGGGGAAAAGTGCCAAAAACTCCTGCTGATCACATGAGTTTGTCCCCCAAGGGTGGGAAGTTCCCAATAGCTAAAATCTGCTGATAATATCACAGTCCTAACCTCCACATAAGATCCATCAGCATGTCACCATTGAAGAGATTGAACATGTGCGATTTATCAATGTACCCTCTGGTAAACTAACATTGCTATTGAAAATGGCCATAGAAATAGTGGATTTTCCCATGACAAATGGTGATTTTCCATAGTTATGTAAACATTTACCAGAGGGTATCCCAAGATATTCCGATTTGTAAACACTCCAGGTCTGCCAGGTCTTCACTGAGCCACTCTCGTCCCAGAACTTGAACCAACTCGTGACGGAACTGGACATGACCTCGCGCCATGGCGCCATGACTCGTGGGAGTTCAATGCAGCCAAAAACAGTTAGGTAAGGGTATATATTTCAGGACATAGCCCCATTGTTTACTGTGAAATTTGCGGTTTTCTGGAAAATGCCCTTGAAGTTTGACAACAATTCATGGGCATGAGCCGCAGTGACGACCTGGCTTCGCTGGCTGGTAGGGATGCAGCCATCAATTGTGGGAAGCAGTGTATGACCAGCAGTACGAAGGATATCGCCATAGCCAACATTCAGATATTTATGGGGGTAGCAAAAACATCCCACTTAGACCCAGTGACCCATCATGTTTTCCCCTGGATTCTTTTTCACCTGTCAGGTGAAGGTCTCTAGATATTGGCGAGTTGGCCGGCTCTCCGGGGGCCCCGAAGCTTATCACAGATAAAATGCCAGATGCAATGTCCGAATCTCAGAAAATATGGCAGATAGAATGTGAGAATGCCAGGCAAAATGTCAGATAGAATGTAGAGATGTTGGACAGAATGTCAGAATATATCAGGATGTATGTCCCCGGTGGGGATCACACGAAGTAAAGTAATTCGAATTGTGGGTGTCCAACCATCATTTGTTTCGCACAGCCAGGACCTACATTTTTTGGGTCACATAGCTGACAAGGATGTGAATGGAACCCCGGATATCTCAAGAATAATGACCGGAAAAAAGGATTGGAAGAGTGGAAGATGACCAGCAATAAAAGATGATATACATATAATTACATATATATCAAAGGGAATTTCAGGATCCTAAAATGGAGGTACTGTACCATATAAGGCCATATTTTCTGGGGATATCCCCTTACATAGGCATATAGGCCTTATATATGGTAGGTGTCTCCATTTTAGGATCCTGGAATGGTCATTGAACATATATATATATCCACATATCTATGACAAGTTAATGCCAATGGTCGTTTACCTGCACCTGCAACAACTCATGGTCTGTTGCTTTCCATTGACTTTCAAGAAGTTTCGGGCAACCAGTGTTCAAAACCACCAACATCCATATAGGGAATCCATGACAACCCCTCATATACCTACTAGCATAATTCCATGTCATAATGTGCTAACCAACCAACAGGGGTTTACATTGGATGGTTTCAACATCGCAGCAGCTGGCAATTTTTCATGCTGAAGTTTGGATCCACCGGTCATGTTGCGCAACTCCTTATCTGAACTTATGTGGTAAACCAAAACTCTAAACTATATACCCCATTTAGATGCATGTATGATCATTTGCCCAAGTTTGCCATTGATCATTTGGGTGGTATCAAAAACCATGAAGAGTGATAAACCGTTTAACCGCCCATACACCATCCCGACTATGAGATGTTGGAGGCTGCTAAAACCGCCAGGTTGGTAGTGAAAGAGCCCATTCGATCCATTCGTATTTGAAAAAAATGATCATAATCTCAGGGATCGGTAAAGGGTTATGATAGTCATGATGATTTCTAAGAAAACCAGTTTGAAACCATGATTTCCGATCTTAGCAAGCTGGCATGTTTGACAGCATTCTGGTTGCTTCATCCAACTTTTCAACTGCCAGGTGACTGATGCACTCCGCGGCCACTCGCTGCTCCGAAGTAGCCCCTCCCATGAGCCGCTGATGCTGCGCTGGAAACCAGGTCGGGTTGCGGCCCTATGGATGGTTCAGGTTCGCCAATACAGAGGCACCTGTGACACAAATAGCACCACTTCACTGGGTTGCTCCGTGAATCATCGAAGTTCTCCATGTTTTGAGTGGACACCATCAAGACATCACTGGTTGAATCACCGAAATTCACCAGCCACCATCTAATGTGGGTATTTAGGGCTGGGGTTAACGTATGGTTTTATGTCACGCTGGTCAGGGCGGTCATTGAATTCATCAGATTTATGTCACATCAGTTATTATAATAAGGATAGGATCCAAGTGGGTGAAACAAGCAATGTTGTTTCCTGCGTTTCATCATTAAACAAATCAAAAAAAAAACATCCATCATTCAAATCCATGTAAGCATCCCAAAAACGAAACAAACAAGATGCAGCCCACGAACCCGAATGCTCACACGTATGATTATGGTACGGATTCCGAAGCGCGTAGATAGGGAAACATCATAGACGTGAAAGAATGTATATAGAGTGTGGAGTGACGAGTATAGAGTGTGAAGTGCAACATGTAAAGTGTAAAGCGTTCAGTGTGGAGTGTAAAGTGTAAAGTGTGGAGTGTAAAGTGTAGAGTCTGGAGTTTGGAGTGTGAAGTGTGGAGTGTAGAGTGTAGAGTGCGGAGTGTGGAGTGTAGAATGTGGAGTGTAAAGTGTAGAGTGCAAAGTGTAGAGTGTAAAGTGTGGAGTGCGGAGTGTAAAGCGTAAAGTGTGGAGTGTAAAGTGTAGAGTGCGGAGTGCGGAGTGAGGGGTGTAAAGTGTGAGGTGTGGAGTGTAAAGTGTAGAGTGTGGAGTGTGGAGTGTAGAGTGTGGAGTGTAGAGTGTGGAGTGTGGAGTGCGGAGTGCAAAGTGTGGAGTGTGGAGTGTGAAGTGTGGAGTGTGGAATGTAAAGTGTAGAGTGTAAAATGTAGAGTGTAGAGTGTAGAGTTTTGAGTGTAATATGTAAAGTGTAAAGTGTAGAGTCGGAGTGTGGAGTGTGGAGTGTAAAATGTGGAGTGTAAAGTGTGGAGTGCGGAGTGTAAAGTGTAAAGTGGGGAGTGGGGAGTGTCGTGTGTAGAGTGTAGAGTGTGGAGTGTGGAGTGTAAAGTGTGACTGAGGAGTGTGGGGTGTAAAGTGTCGAGTGTCGAGTATGGAGTGTACTGTGTAGAGTGTGGAGTGGAGTGGGAAGTGCGGAGTGTAAAGTGTAAAGTGTTGAGTGTGAAGTGTAAAGTGTAGAGTGTGGAGAGTAGAGTGTTGAGTGTAAAGTGTAGAGTGTAAAGTGTAGAGTGTGAAGTGTGGAATGTAAAGTGTGGAGTGTGAAGTGTAGAGTGTAAAGTGTAGAGTGTAAAGTGTGGAGTGCGGAGTATAAAGCGTTAAGTGTGGAGTGTAAAGTGTAGAGTGTGGAGTGTGGAGTGTAAGTGTGGAGTGTAGAGTGTGGAGCGTGAAGTTTGGAGTGTAGAGTGTGGAGTGTAGAGTTTTGAGTGTAAAGTGTAGAGTGTGAAGTGTGGAATGTAAAGTGTGGAGTGTGAAGTGTAAAGGGTGGAGTGTGGAGTGTGGAGTGTAGAGTGCAGAGTGTGGAGTGTAGAGCACGCAATGCAACACGTCTGAAGTGCTGCGCCTGCTACGCAAAATGACGATAGAAGTCTCCAAAGTGCTGCGCCTGCAACGAAAACTGCAGCTCATCATACTCATCTTGCGAAAACGACGCAAAAGTATTGCGCCTGCCTTACAAAACAACTTTCGACGCGTTACAAAACACGTCTGAATGTGTCACGAAGTGCCACGCCTGCCACGCGAAACGAAGCAACGCGACGTTTGAAACCTCCAAAAATGACCCCTTCTGCAGAACTTACCATAGGCACGGCCATACGGGGATCGCGCGAACGTTGCGAACGGTTGCGCGCTTGCGAACGGTTGCGGACGGTTGCGGACGGTTGCGGACGGTTGGGCATCGTCGTGCGAACACACCCTCAACCCCCAGACCGCCAGAGTGAAACGGGAACCCTTGCTACGCATTCGGGAAAAAACATCCCCATTTCTGTAGCTTAAAACATCTGATTCTGCGGCCGTTTTTTGCTCATCGCGGCATCTTCAACAGCTTGGCTTCGGCGATCAGCACCGCGTTGAGCGCCGCGCCCCGCAGCAGTTGGTCGCCTGCGTTACGGCGATACCGGGCATGGGAAATCCCCGAACTAAATGAGAGGTTTTTATAGCTTGGAAAATCATCTATAAATGGGGATGTGAATGACAATTCATGGGATTTTAGAGTGATTAGTAGGCATGTAACATGATTTAACCAACAAAATCGGAACATGAATGGGTTTTACCCTCTTGTAGTGATTAATAGTTAGCCATAGAACTACGGAATCCATGTCCCATTTAGTTCGATGATTACCCTTCGCTAATTGATCAAAGATGGTAGTGGGAAATTCCTTATTTATAGATGATTTTCTCATTGAATCTGCATGTGTGGATGATTTGCCAACTATAAATGGGGTGTTTCCATACCCGTATTAAACGCGATCCTATGAGAAATCCCTGAACCAAATGGACGTTTGAATGGGAACACCAGCGAACGAACTGGAGGATCTTCCTGTCATGTTTAATTTCTGGAGGTCTATAGTTTATACGAAAGTATGATAATTGTATTATGATACAGCACAACATCTTATAAAAACAAAAAATTATGATAGTATGATAGTATGATATATTCAAGAATGATAAACCAGTAGTACCGCACGAGGCGGTGGCGGAAGTTTCAAAAATAGGAAACCTATAGGAGATATTGGTTGTTGTGAATCACGGATGGCAGAGCGAATCCACTGATGGACCGAAAGGTGGTTGGAGTTGTGTTTTTTGGAATGGTTGGCTGGAATGTTTGCAGTGGTCACCTCACCACAACTGCTGGATGTGGTGTGGTGTAGTGCAGTTGTAGTTGTAGTCGTAGCTGTAGTGTATTGTAGCGGAGTTGTAATTGTAATGTTGTGTAGTTAGTGTAGTGTAGTTGCAGTTGTAGTTGTGGTGTGGTGTAATTGGTGTAGTGTATTGTAGTGCACTGTAGTGTTGTGTACTGTAGTTTGGTAGTGTAGTGTAGTCTAATGTAGTGTAAGGTAGCGTAAGGTAGTGTAGTTGTAGTTGTAGTTGTAGTGTAGTGTAGCGCAATTAGTGTAGCGTCACGTAGTGCAATTTAGTGGTAGTTGCAATTGTAGTTGTAGTTGTAGCCTTAGTGTAATGTAGTGTAACCAGTGTAGTGTAGCTTTCCCATGTCATCTGTCAAAAAATAGAAAAATACCTGCCCGTTAGGTCGGCGCATAACTCCCATGTCATGTGTTTAAAAAAAACGCGTAGCAAAATCGATACATAAATCCCATGTCATGTGCCAAAAAACCTCGGCTAAATCGGCCGCAAAGTCCCGTGTCATGGGCGCCTACTATAGATAGGTAGACAGATAGGTAGATAGATAGACAGACAGACAGACAGACATCAACAACAACAACAACAACTACTACTACTACTGCTACTACTACTACTACTACTACTACAACTACAACTACAACTACAACTACAACTACAACTACAACTACCCTACACTACAACTACAAATGCGAATAAACTATGCTACATTACACTACACTAATTACACAACAACTACAACAACTACTACTACCACAGCTACAACTACAATTGCAACTACCTACACTGCACTAATTACACTGCAGCACGCTACAGCTACAAATACAAATGCGACTACAACTACATTACATGACACAATAAGTGATCAAATTTACACATGACATGGGACCTCCAGGAAAACACAGACGTCCATGATGGGAAGTGGCAGGTGATGAGATGGGAAGACGAATTTACCACAGGAGATGGGACGTTCAAGATGGGAAGTGGCAGCTAAATTCTTTTAAATTTCTTTAAATTCTTGAAAATCCTTTCAAATTCCTTTGAATTCTTTCGAATTCCTTTAAATTCCTGAAAAATTCCTTACAAGACGAATTTGCCACATAACATGGTACTTCCAATTCCTTTGAATTCCCTATTTTTTGAAAATGCCTTTAAGTTCATTGAAATTCCTTTAAATTCATTTAAATTCCTGAAAATTCCTCAAAACGAACTTGCCACATGACATGGGACTTCCAATTCCTCCAAAATCTTGAAAATTCCTTTAAATTCCTTTAAGTTCCTTAAAGGACGAATTTACCACATAACATGGGACTTCCAATTCCTTTAAATTCGTTTCATTTTTCAAAATTCCTGTTGATTCATTTAAATTCTTTTAAATTCCTTTCAATTCTTTGAAAGTCCTTTAAATTCTTTCAGATTCATTTAAATTCCTGTAAGTTCCTTTAAAACATTTATATTCTTTAAAATTCATTTAAATTCCTGTCAATTCCTGAAAATTTTTGAAAAGACGAATTTACCACATGACATGGGACTTGCAATACCTTTCAATTCTTTTAAACTCCTTTATATTCCTTTAAATTCTTGAAAATTCCTTAAAAGACGAATTTACCACATGACATGGGGCTTCCATGTCCTTTAAAGTCTTTTTTTAAGTTCCTTTGAATTCCTTGAAATTCCTCTTTAAATTCCTTTGAGTTCTTTTAAATTCCTGAAAAGGCAAATTTACCACATGACATAGGATTTCCAATTCCTTGAAATTCCTGATTTTTTTACATTCCTTTAAATTCCTTTAAATTCTTTTAAAATTCCTTTAAATTCCTGTCAATTCCTTTAGATTCATTTAAATTCCTTTAAAACCCTTTAAATGCCTTAAAATTCCTTTAAGTTCCTTAAAAGACGAATTTACCACATGACATGGGACTTCCAAACCTGTTATTTTTTTAATTCCTTTAAATTCGTTTTTTGATTCCTCTTAATTCATTGAACTTCCTTTAAATTCCTTTAAGTTCCTGGAAAAAAATCCTTTAAATTCCTTAAAAGACGAATTTACCACATGAAATGGGATTTCCAATTCCTTAAAACTGTTTAAAATTCCTTTAAATTCTTTTAAAATTGCTTTAATTTCCTCTCAATTCATTTAAAGTCCTTTCAATTCCTTGAAATTCCTGGAAAAAATCATTTAAATTCCTTAAAAGACGAATTTACTATATGACATGGGACTTCCAATTCTTTATTTTTTCTTAAATTCAGACAGACGGTTTTCAAAGTGATAAATGGCTTCTAAATAGGTGCTGAATAGCTGCTAAGTAGCTGCTAAATAGTTGCTAAATAGTTGCTGAATAATTGCTAAATAGCTGCTAAATAGCTTCTAAATAGTTGCCGGATAACTACTAAATAGCTGCTAAATAGCTGCTAAATAGCTGCTAAGTAGCTGCTAAATAGCTGCTAAATAGCTGCAAAATAGCTGCTAAATAGTTGCTGGATACCTGCTAAATAGCTGCTAAATAGTTGCAAAATAGCTTCCAAATAGTTCCTTGAATAATTGATAATAGCTGCTAAATAGCTTCGAAATAGCTGCTTAATTGCATCTAAATAGCTGGCAAATAGCTGCTGAATAGATACTAAAGAGCTGCTAAATAGTTTCTGAATAGCTGCTAAACAGTTGCAACATAGCTTCCAAAAAGTTGCTGAATAATTGATAAATGGCTTCCAAGTAGCTTCGAAATAGCTGCTAAATAGCTTCTAAATAGCTGGTAAATAGCTGCTGAATAAATGCTAAAGAGCTGCTAAATAGCCTCTGAATAGCTGCTAAATAGTTGCTAAATAGAACAAGGAGGTGAATGGATTCATGTGACTTTGGAATATTCTAACTGCTGAAGTATAATTTTGGATTATTCCAACTGCTATTAGGTAGTCATACACTCATATACTATCTTTTTTCATGTGGGATGTGAAATGTCCAGTGTGTGAGTTAGTTGACATTACATGTTTTGCATCTTTTTGGATGCAGAAGTCCATGTCATGTGATTTTTTCCGAGGCACTTTACAGATGACACGGGACTTATGCATTTTTCTGATTTTTTCACTTTGCAGGTGACATGGAAGTTTGCGTCGTTTTTAGGGTATGTCCGACAACTCCCATGTCATCTGCAGGTACGTTAATCTATCCACTCTATCTAATCTATCTAATCTATCTGATCTATCTAATTTACCTAATCTATCTAATCTATCTAATTTATCTAATCTCTCTAACCTATCTATTCTATCTATATATCTAACCTATCTATTCTATCTATCAAACCTATCTTTTCTATCTAATCTATCTATCTTTCAATCTTTCTATCTATCTATCTATTTATCTATATATCTAAATAATCTTTCTAATCTATCTAATCTATCTCGTCTATCTAGTCTATCTAGTCTATCTATTCTATCTATTCTATCTATTCTATCTATTCTATCTATTCTATCTGTCTATCTATCTATCTACCTATCTATCTACCTATCTATCTATCCATCTAACCTATCTAAATCTATCTAATCTATCTCTATCTAATCTATATAATCTATCTAATCTATCTAATGATTTATCTAATAATCTATCTAATCTATCCAATCTATCCGATCTATCTATTCTATCTATTCTATCTGTCTATCTATCTATCTACCTATCTATCTTTCTATCTATTTATCTATCTATCTATCTATGTATCTATCTAGTCTATCTATGTAATCTATCTATCTAATCTATCTATCTATCTATCTATCTAGCTATCTGTCTATCTATCTATCTAACTATCTATCTATCTATCTGTCTATCTATCTATCTATCTATCTATCTGATCGATCTGTCTATCTATCTATCTAGTCTATCTAGTCTATCTAGTCTATCTAATCTATCTAATCTATCTAATCTATCCAATCTATCTAATCTTTCCAATCTATCTAATCTATCTAATCTATATAATCTATCTAATCTATCTAATCTATCTAATCTATCTAACTATCTGTCTATCTGTCTGTCTGCCTGCCTGTCTATCTATCTATCTACCTATCTATCTATGGATCTATCCATCTATCTATCTATCTAGCTATCTATCTATCTATCTATTTATCTATCTATCTATCTATCTATCCATCTATCTATCTAATCTATCTATCTATCTATCTATCTATGTATCTATCTATCTATCTATCCATCTAATCTATCAATCAATCAATCTATCTATCTATCCATCCATCCATCCATCCATCCATCCATCCATCCATCCATCTATCTTATCTATCTATCTATCTATCTATCTATCTATCTATCTATCTATCTAATCTATCTAATCTATCTAATCTATCTAATCTATCTAATCTATCTAATCTATCTAATCTATCTAATCTATCTAATCTATCTAATCTACCTAATCTATCTAGTCTATCTAATCTATCTAATCTATCTAAAATCTATCTAATCTATCTAATCTATCTAATCTATCTAATCTATCTAATCTATCTAATCTATCTAGTCTATCTAGTCTATCTAATCTATCTAATCTATCTAATCTATCTAATCTATCTAATCTATCTAATCTATCTAATCTATCTAATCTATCTAATCTATCTAATCTATCTAATCTATCTAATCTATCTAAGCTATCTAAGCTATCTAAGCTATCTAATCTATCTAATCTATCTAATCTATCTAATCTATCTAATCTATCTAATCTATCTAATCTATCTAATCTATCTAATCTATCTGATCTATCTAATCTATCTAATCTATCTAATCTATCTAATCTATCTAATCTATCTAATCTATCTAATCTATCTAATCTATCTAATCTATCTAATCTATCTAATCTTCTAATCTATCTAATCTATCTAATCTATCTAATCTATCTAATCTATCTAATCTATCTAATCTATCTAATCTATCTAATCTATCTAATCTATCTAATCTATCTGATCTGTCTAATCTATCTAATCTATATAATCTATCTATCTGTCTGTCTGTCTATCTATCTATCTGCCTGTCTGTCTGTCTGTCTATCTATCTGTCTTCTGCAAGCTTGGAGACGAAGCTATTTTGCGACACTTCCTCAATTTTTGAACTTGACAACATCAAAAACGCAGCAATTCAGCGAGACTTGCTCAATTTTTGAACTTGAAAAAGTCAAAAACGAAGCAATTCTGCGAGACTCTCACTTTTGACAAGGTGCACAATCCCGTGCGCCTGCCACGCGAGACGACATCTGAACGTCAAAACGTGGTCCGAGCATGTGGTGCTTTTGACATTTTGACTTCGAAATGTGCTTCGCGCCACAACAGCGTGCACTTTTTCGACAGCGCAACTTCTAAAAGTGCTCTGAAGCTGAGGTGATTTGTACATTTTGACTTCGAAATGTGCTTCGCGCCACAACGGCGTGCAATTTTTCATCTCTCTTCTGGCCAGCTGGCTCCGCACCCGCCGCTTTAGCGAGCCTACTTTTCGACCCTTCAGAGCCACACATCATTCGAAAAACACAGTGTTTCGCGACTTTCCTACCTTTTCGCGCACTTGGATCTTCTTTCTTCTGAGATTTTCTCTTTTGTGATCTTCTTTCTTCTTCACTTGTCCATACTGTGGGAAGTTTGGCTTCTAAACTAACTTCCTTCGATTATGATATATATATATATGTATATGTGTATATAATTGTATATATATATATGTATATGTATGGTACCTATACTGCAATGTCGTATGTACAATTAAAATTTACGATCATGATTCCCATCAAAAAGCTCCATGTTTCATATTTTTTCCATCAATCTCACTATTTTCCAGCTCCCACCTGACACAAAGAGATCCAGCCCGCAAGGCTGAAACACCAGCGAGCGCCGAATCCGACCCACCTGGCAATCTGGTGAACTTCAATGGAAATGGATGATGGATTTGGATGGATTATGGATGGATTTGAGGCAATCCTCCAAGGGATCGCACATTCAAAAAAAGATCACCACCCAAAGCTGATGGTTGTAGCATGTTGCAGAGCGCTTTTAGATCCCAAACGTGACCAATGAATTGCGGGTTCATGTCCGTTACTATTTCCAATAGCTTGACCATAGGGTGAAGTACCACAACCACGGGCTGAAGTGGTAGATTTGCTTTGACATGAACTAATGGGAGCACTTTGCATCTCGTATTTTCTGGATGATTTCCTGAGGTTAAGGAACGGCATCCCGCTATCTTTTGAACGCCAACATAGATAGTTGCTGAGAAAATCTTAAAAAGTCACTGTCTTCAGGCTTCCCATTCCCAATAAATAGCCAGCTAAGGTATTCCAACCCAGCGCCTCCACGTCGTACTTCTTAGTGGCGGTGAGTGGCATGGGATACCTTGCTGGAACCGCATGGATCTTGTGATGGAAGTGGTAGAACTTTTGAAGCCACAAAAAATAACTTGGAACTTTCGGGGTTTTACAGTTTTACCTTGGAAGGGTATGATGATGTTCATCCGCCCCAACTACAGGAACAGAAAATTGATTTTACACATACAGTAGCCATTTTCTGGTCGCCGTTGCCAACTTCCTGGCAGATCTGGCATCCGAGATGGCCAAGGTACGATTTCTCGGCTGGATTGTCCACCACCTGAGATCATCAGATCGATCAAAGTTGTATGGGATGATAAGACGCAACTGGATAGCTATCCCCAGTATCTCGATACATCCCTGAACAGCAAATTTTCAGGGGGCCAGTTAAAAGGAAACAACTAGATCGGAACACTCTTAAATGCTCCCTGCGAATAAAGAGATTGCATATCACACACACCTAGCATTTCTTGAGAAAGTTGACCCTCATCACCCAGCAAAATGGCCTGAATTCGCATGGAAAGAAGCATTTGCTGGATATGTTTGGAGCATTTTGGGGCAATGAATTCGGAAACACCCAAGGAGCTCTATGCCCAGTGTTAGTTCATTTGTTTTTTGAACTTATCGATTTTCATCCTCAAAACACTGCAGAATGGGGACACATGGTCATCTGAACAAGTCACATGTCAACTGGGCACTGGTTTCAGGGCTGGTACAACAAACTAAGCGAAACAAAAAAATTACCCGCAGCCTGGCAGCACGTGCGCCCCATAGGTACTTCGCTACACTTTCATATGGGTTTTTGTTCAGGGTTTCTTTAGGGTGCATTTAGGGTTAAGTTTCGGTTCTTCTTGGGGTTTTTCTAGGTTTTCTTATGAAAAAAAGTGTTGAACACAGCGAAAGGAGTTCAGCTGATTCCCCGCAGAGGGTCATCAATCACTTCCCCCACGAAGCAACGTGAGGGACATCAAATTAAATCATCTCAACATAGTGAAAGGCCACCTACAGTACTTTAACGGTCACAAAAAATGAGGTTCCAGACAATCATCCCAAGAGAGTTTGGGGCATAGCACCTTTGTGCTGGTGGCCCAGTGTCATGATCCCTGAGCTGGTGGGCGGCTCGGCCCCACTTTGTACGACCCTGTGCCTTTTTTAGTCGCCATGACATTCTGAATTTCAAATCGCAATGGAACACAACTTCAGGGAACATGTAAAGTTATGACATGGGACAAGCCAATTAATGTCAACCCTGGATTCATAAACCCCGAACGGCTGTTTAATTGGGAGGGTACCATTAAAAAGTATCAGATGAAATGACTATTGGAGGAGTACCCTCCTAATTATCATAAACCATGCTTGAGTCTTATCCAGGGTTGACATTATAATACATTATATCTGCTGTGTTCAGAGTACATAACATGCATTCCAACCCCCATTTTCCATATCAATTCAGACTCAGCTGTTTTTCATTTGCGGCTGTCACCGAAGCTGCTTTTGAATCAAGTCCGAATGCTGCTGACTTGCAGCCATAGCACCCTGGAAAAGAACGACAAGCAGGTGCGACTTGGTGGTGGTGGAGTTGAAGGTTAAGGATTTGGGAACCTACAACAGTAGGTTATGAGCCCAACGTGCCACAGTTGCTCCAGATGCTGATGCAGCGAAGACGGGCTACACCAGAAGAACTAGCTCAAGGAGAAGATGAAATCCGACGAGCCAACCAACGTATGGAGGCAGAGCTGGCCAGTGGAGCTGAGCCGCAGTTAGAAAACAAAGAAAGGTCTGAGGCAGAGGTTTTTGAGTCCCCCGGAAATCCAAAGGATAAAAGTCTGGGAAGTGAGGAGAAGCCAAAAAGTGCCCCGAAATCTTTCTTTCCTCCTGGTGCAGAAAAGGCATCACAGGAGTCAGCTGCGAAGTCGTCAGGTTCAGCGAAGTCAGTTCCTGCCACACCAAGGAAAACTCAGGTATCGCCATCAGAACGTTCCGAACTGCAGCAGAACCCTCAGTCTGCCCCAGGTTCAAATCAAGCGGTTGTTTTGGCATCCACCGAAGTTGTCAAGACTCCTGAGACCTCTGCGGCAATGGTGGTATCGAACGTGCAAGGCATGTCAAATGGACCTCAGTATGCGGAAAATGATTCTGGGCGAGCGCATCAAGTTGTTTCTGTGGAAGCCACACCTGCTGCCCAATCCAATGTTTCTTCAGTTCCTCTTTTTGATGAAAGCCAGATTCGAAGATTCCAGGAAATCTACAACCAAGCACCTTGGCTCTATCCAGGGAATCAGCTGTTGGGACCACCCGCAATGGTGCCACAACCGATAGCAAGACCCTTGTTTTTGGAGCAAGATGAGCGTAGAGTCCATGGAGTTGGGATGGTTGGGGATCAAGCTTCATACCTGTTTCCATACATGCCTCAACCTGGTCCCTCTGAACATGCTGAACTTAGAAGGGAATTGGAAAGAATCATGGAAGAAAATCAAAAATTGAGGGCTAGAATCGAAACGTTGGAAAGCATGCGAGTAGATGATGATCAGAAGTTTTCCACCCCGGAAGAACCCAAAAAGGAGGCTGTAGACCCCCACTCAAAGGAGGTTGCAGGCTCACCCTCAAAGGAGGCTGTAGACCCCCACTCAAAGGAGGTTGCAGGCTCACCCTCAAAGGAGGCTGTAGACCCCCACTCAAAGGAGGTTGCAGGCTCACCCTCAAAGGAGGCTGCAGACCCCCACTTTAAGGAGGCTGTGAGACCACCAAAGACCGAAGCTCAGGATCCACGAAGTTTCAAAGCTGAGGAGGCTGTGAGACCCCCAAAGCATGAAGCCGAAGATTCGAGGAGCTCTCAACCAAAGGAGGCTGCAGACCCCCAAAGTCAAAGACCCAAGGATGATGGAAGTGGAGCCAATACCACTTTCACTGAGCGATCTTTGGAGTTCATGGCACTCATGATGGACTCCATGAAGGAGATGCACAAGCGCCTCAACGAGCCAAAGGACGAAGGCGTGATCAAAGGAGTTGAAACGGTGAGGTCTGGAGCTCCAGATCTCCCCTTGCTGGCTCCGTGGGAGCCTCAACAAGGACCCTTGATCCTTGGAGACTGGCTGTTGATCATCGAGCCCATCATCTCAGACCTCTCAACATCTGCGAGCGTGTGGTGGAAGACATCGGTGTCAGCAGCTGAAGCCTGGTACAAGGTGCACATGGCCCTGTCTCCTCTGGACAGGATTCAACACAAGGTTGAGACACCTGAAGAAGTGCTTCAACAAAAATGGGAAAGGTTGGAAAGAAGGGTTGCGACTATGCTTCTTCAAGCCCTTCCACAAGAAGTTCGTGGTGAATTGGTGGCTGCCAGAAGGCTCACCACCTTTGGTGTCATCACGCACTTGCTGGTGACATACAGCCCTGGCGGAATCTCTGAGAAACAAAACTTGCTCCGGAACCTTGAAGATCCTCCGGAGATCCCAACTGTCCAAGATGGTCCAGCAGCTCTACGACGTTGGCTTCGCTGGCGACACCGAGCTAAAGATATCGGGGCCGTAGCTCCTGATCCGAGTCTTCAACTTCGAGGACTCTTGAAGATGTCAAAGAAGACCCTTGAAGCGCACCGAGAACTTCAGTTTCGTGTGAGCCTTGTGAGGAGTGGTTTACAAGTGGACACGGTTCCCAACGACACCAATGTGGAGCAGTTCTCATACCACCTCCTTGCTGAATATGAGCAGCTCTCGATCTCTGAAAAGCGCCCTGGGGGAAATGCAACTACATCCAAGCAGGATGCCACAAAAACCAAACAGAATGAAGTCGAAAAGCCGAAGGCTGCGAAGCTTCGAAAGTTGGAGGAGGATGCAAGGTCCCCCACAAAGAGAAGCGAAGAAGGAGAGACAAGAGGAAAGTGCAAGTTCTACCTTTCTGATCAAGGATGCAGAAGGGGAAAGGCTTGTCAATGGTCTCATGACCAAAAAGATGAAAGGAGAAGATGTTGGAATTGCGGGAGTCCAGAACACATGTCTCCTGCGTGCCCAAGACCGAAAGAAAGAGGAGAGTCCTCACCGCAGAAGCCAAAGGTTCAGAAGGTTGAGGGGGAGGATACTTCGTCAACAAGCTCAAAGTTGAAAGAAGATGAAGGGACTGAAGGTCCAACCATGAAGGAACTTCTGGAACAGGCCAACACTATGTTGAAGTCCTTGACCACTTCCAATGCGACTTCCTCCCAAAGCCAATCTGGTGGGGAATCAAAAGAGGAGATGATGGATCGTCTTCAACAACAACTGAATCGAATGAAGCTGAAAGGCCTCAAGATCAACCAGATCAACTACGGCAGCCAACAGGGATTGGTTGACTCAGGTGCCACACACCCATTGCATCCAATGCGTCTGGGTGAATCCAAGAACGACTACAAGAAGGTCTCTGTGACCCTTGCCAACGGTGAGAGCACTGCCCTTCAAGTTACTCCAGGTGGTGTGATGGTCTCCGAGCGCAAAGATGTCGAGCCTATCATCCCCATGGGTATGCTGGTGCAAAAGCTTGGATGCAGGGTTGATTGGAACCAAGGAACACTTCAAATCCATCATCCTGATCGTGGACTTCTACCAGTACAACCTCAAGAGGGGTGCCCTCAAATCCCAAGAGCTCTTGCTCTTGAACTCATAGATGAGCTGGAGACGAAAGCACTCCAGTCCAAGCCTGAAGAAAAGAAGTTTGAGAAGGAAAAGATTTGGATGCAAGCTCTGGTCGAAGCTCACCCTGTCCTTCGACAACTACCAGCGGAAATCAAGAAAAGCTTGGTGGTGGATGTTGGATCCTGGCGTGATCTCCCTGTCAACCGACGTCAACGACGAAGACTTCAACGGGATGGCTTCATTGCTCATCTCTATGCAGGGGAGTCTGAAGGGTTCACATTGACAAGAGCCTACCAGCAACAGGGTGGGAATCCAGCTGACATCCTCGAGGTGGACATCAAACGTGGGGAGAATCACAATCTCCTCATGGACTCTGGAGTTTACAGCGGTTTGCTGTGCGCTGTGATGAGCGATAAGGTCGAGGCCTTCATCGCTGGACCCAACTGCAGAACAAGGTCAGTTTTGAGGCACTATCCAAAAGAAAATGCTCCGCGACCAGTCAGGGCGTGGGGAGGTGAAGAATTTGGCCTCAAAGATCTCTCTGAACAAGAGCGCTTGCAGGTGTTGGAGGACGACATCTTGATGTGGAGGTTCATCTTTCTTTGGATGGTGGCCACATACATCAGAGAAGCCAAACAAGTCCAACGACCAATTGGATTCCTCTTGGAACAGCCTGCAACGCCCAAAGAGTACATGCCTCAATGCGTGTCGTTTTGGGACACCAACGAATGGAAGCTCTTGCGAGATGAGTTCAACTTTGAGGAGACCACGTTTTGTCAAGGACACCATGGAGGAGCGGCCTTGAAACCAACAACAATGGGCGGCAACATGCACCTCAACATCGACAGCCATCGAATGAGAAGGCCAACCTCTGTGGACATCAGGTCTTCTGCTCAGCTCTCAAGATGGGCTCCGGGCACAATGAACATGGTGGCCGAGTCCTTGATGCTGCAGGTGAAGTGCCAGCCTCTGAAGATGTGCCCTCTCAGCTGGGATGAGCACATAGCACATGGCCATACGCCATATCGGCGAGACTGCCTGGTTTGCCAACAAACCATGCAACAACAACACCCACATCGAAAAGTACCATATCCAGTCGGAGGAGTTCTCTCGCTGGATGTTGCAGGTCCTTTGATTCCTGCCAAGGACTTGGGTGGCTTGCGAGCTCGATGGATGCTGGTTGGAACTCTGACATGGGCCGTGCCAGCCGGGTCAAACAAGCTCCAAGATGCTCATGTTCCACAAGCTGACGGAGATGAACCTCACTTTGAGGTTCACCCTGAAGAAGAAGAAGGAAAAGAAGGGGCCCAAGCCCTAGAAGATAAAAGAGAAGAACGAAGTGAGGCTGAAGAAGAAGAAGGAGAAAAGGTAGAAGTTTGGGGTGAAGAAGATGGGGAAAAGAAAGAGTATGAGCTCTCTCAAAAACCTCATCCAGTGCCGCCATATCTGCTACCACCTTCACAACCGAAAGATGGAGAAAAAGAACTTCAACCAGGTGGCTTTGACACCAAGATCTTCCGCCTGGCCTCTCCGATGATCACCAAGACCGCAAGGGAGGTGACAAGAACCACAATGGACATGCTCCTCAGGCTTCGCATGGATGGTTTCCACATCGGTCGCATCCATAGCGACAGGGGAAGGGAGTTTGCCGGCCAGTTCAAAAAATGGGCTAACTCGCGGGGCATAGCTTTGTCTCGCACCTCGGGCGATGATCCCAGAGCAAATGGCCGAGTTGAAGTAGCCATCAAGACCCTCAAAACTCAGGTGAGGCGATTGCTGAAAGCTGCTGACGTTGGCAGTGAACTCTGGCCCCTTGCAGCTCGATATGCTGATGCCCTGAACCGAAGCTGGAGGATTGGAGAAGAGCCGAAGTTTCCACCTTTTTTGCAAGAGGTTTTGGTGAGGAGAAGAACATGGAGAAAGGGTGTTTTTGAGCCCACGACGGAAACGGTTCAATACCTTTTTCCAGCAACAGAAGAACACGGCCACTGGATCCTTCCGAAGGATGAGCCGCCACGAGTGACGAGGTATGTCATGAAGAAGGCCAAAGACCCCGTCTCTGAGCACCAATGGCTCGCCTTGGAAAAGGACACCGTGGATGCCCTCTTGGTCCGCCGAAGACTTCGAGGAAAATCAGCGATCAGAAAGATCGAAGAAGATGATGTTGAAGAGAAAGAAAGAGAAGATCAAAAGAAAAGGAGGATCAACTACATAAGGGTCATCGAAGATGAGATGAAAATGATGATCAATGATGATCCTGAAACAGTGATGGATGAGATGGCCATTTTGGCCAACATGAGGAAGATGGCAGCTGAGACAAATGAAGAAGAAGAGGTCTTGCAGACACGAATTGTGTCACCACGTGAAGTGGCCGAAAACTGGAGCGATTGGCTCCCGGCCATCACCAATGAGGTTGACTCCTTGCTCAAAGAAAAGGAGGCCTTCAGAGAAATCTATCCAGAGGAACTCCACAAGATGCAGAAGGAGGCTGAAAGGTCAGGAAAGGGGATTGAGTTCATCCCATCCAAGCTGGTCTTTACCAGAAAGCCAGGGCCAGAAGGAGGAAAGAAAAAGATGAGGTGGGTTGTTTGTGGCAACTTGGAACCGAAGAAAGAACAGGAGGATAACTTCAGTTCAGGTGCAGATGCCTCCGCCCTGCGCATTCTATGTTGGTGCTGCGCACTTTACCAATGGGTTGCCTCAACTCTCGATGTGCGCACAGCCTTCCTCAACGCCAAGATGGTATTGGCCGATGATGAGGATCCAATCCTGATCAAACCTCCTGCTCTCCTGGTCGAGAAGAAGTACCTGAGAAGAGATGTCTACTACCTGCCTGAAAAAGCGATCTATGGGTTGCGACGGTCTCCAAGACTGTGGGGCCTCACCAGGGATGAGACCATCTCTGACTTCTCAATCCAGGGGGAGCACAATGGAAAGCACATGGAGTTCATGCTGGAGCCTTTGCAGTCCGAACCCAACTTGTGGAAACTGCGAAATGCCCTTGAACCAGAAGACACCACTCTGTATGGTCTTTTGATGACGTACGTGGATGACCTGATGCTGGCATCATCTCCAAACTTACTCCAAGCCATGCAGGCCAAGATCCAATCGACATGGACCACTTCAACACCAGAGTTTGTCGGCCCGGAACCTGTCAGATTTCAGGGAATGGGGATCTCAAAAGAATGGAAAGAGGAGTTTCAAAGAGATGTTTGGATGGTGACGCAGCAGTCCTACACCAAAGACCTCACACAAAAGGATCCTGAAGTCAAGCCAAAACGGATCCCTTTGACCAGAGATCAATCAGCCATGGAACCAAATGAGGCTGAGATCACACCTGAGCTGATCCGCTCCTGCCAAAAAGCTGTTGGCGAAGTCTTGTGGCTGACAACCCGGGCACGGCCAGACATCATGTACGCTGTAAGCCGCATGGGCTCATCATCCACGAGGGCACCACATGCCGTTTTGGCAGCCGCACTCCAGCTCAAAGGCTACCTGATGGCCACTTCAGATGAAGGGTTGATGTTCAATGTGAGAGAAGGTGAAAGCCCCGTTTTGACGGTGTACACTGATGCAGGTTTTGCGCCGGATGCACAGGAGAGCCATGGATCATTTGTGGTCCTGCTGGGCACAACTCCAATTTTCTGGAGGTCGGGCCGCCAGAGCTACATCACGCTCTCAACTGCTGAAGCAGAGCTCACTGAGATCGTGGAGGGCATGATAGCTGGTGAATCGATCTACGTGATCCTGGCAGAGCTCTTCCCTGTGGTCCACAAGCTTCTCAAAACTGACAGCCAGTCAGCACTTGCCATCTTGTCCAACGATGGTGGTAACTGGCGAACCCGCCATTTGAGGCTGAGGTGCTCCTTCGCAAGGCAGTCGATCCTTGCGGGTGAATGGGTCATTCAGCATGTGGCTGGTGAGTTCATGATTGCCGACATCGGCACCAAGCCACTCACAGCGGCACGACTTGAGTTCCTCAAAAAGTTGATGGGGATGGGAAAACTGGTAATCAAAGATGAAGTGAAAAGTATGGAAGTTGAAGAAAAGAAAGAAGGAGAAAAGCAGGACGGTCTTTTGACCACCAAGGAAAAGACCAAAGTCGCGGAGGCAGCCCAAGTTTTGAGGCTGATCACTCTTGCAGCGTCAATTGCTGCAGTCAAAGCGGAAGAGGGGGAGAAGGAGCACGAAGAGACCTATCCTTTTGAGGTCATCATTGCCTACACCTTGGGAATCATCATTTTGACGTTGGTGGCGCAGCGAATCTGGAATGCAGCAGTACGAGGGGTCATCGTCGTACGACAGTATGTTTTGGCCAACCTTGGAAGACTCTCCATGAACGCTGTGCGAAAGGAGGAAGAGATCCCCGAAGGAGATCAATCTGAATCGCTCCCGGCATCAAATGAAAGCCGGTCCACCGACTCAAATGATGGTGATCAAGTACCACCTCAAGCTCCGCTTCCAATTCCTGAAGATCCGCCCTCAACATCAGAAGCTCCGCGACCAGAACAGGCGATCAATGTGGTTTTACAATCAGAAGCTACCCAGACTGGAATTCTTCCTGGGTATATTGCGAACGTGGCCCAGACTGGAATATTTCCTGGGCCTGAGTCCGAAGTGATCCAGACTGGAATAATTCCTGGATCCGACTCACGAATGACCCAGACTGGAACATTTCCTGGGTTTAACGATCGCGATGCCCAGACTGGAACGATTCCTGGGCATGAGACATCGGCACTTTTTCAAAGTCAAGAAGAACGAGCCGCTGCTCTCGAGATGCTTCGTCAACATGATGCGACGATGGTTAACTATGAAGCTGAGTGGAATCAGACTCTTAGAGAAGAAGATCGAGTTCGTGATGAGCTCACCAATGCTCAGCCGGGACATCCCATTTTGGGACCTATGAATGCTCCACAAGCTGAACCAGCGCTACCACTCCTGCCCTTCGAAGTGATCACTACGCGGTATGGAACCGTGTATCACAATCGGTTGGACTGCCGGTATCTCACTGCGCCAATGACTGGACATGCACGACTCCATCGGTGGTGCACCAAGTGTCGAGCCGAAGCAGCCCAGACTGGAAGAATTCCTGGGCATGGATTTGCAGTGCTGATCAGCGGCCGAGAGATCGATTTTCATACTGATGTGACATGTGAAGAAGCTGAAAGAGCTTCCACTTTTGCACTCTGCACTGCATGCCTTGAAGGTACTTGAATATAGCAGCTTGAGCTGGGCCGAATGTATTTTGGTTGAAGTGCCTAACGGCTACTTCAAAGGTGGAGTGCTGTGTTCAGAGTACATAACATGCATTCCAACCCCCATTTTCCATATCAATTCAGACTCAGCTGTTTTTCATTTGCGGCTGTCACCGAAGCTGCTTTTGAATCAAGTCCGAATGCTGCTGACTTGCAGCCATAGCACCCTGGAAAAGAACGACAAGCAGGTGCGACTTGGTGGTGGTGGAGTTGAAGGTTAAGGATTTGGGAACCTACAACAGTAATATCCATCATCATGATGAAACCATCTGAAACCTACGAAACCATTGGAAAAAATGGGGGACCATCATACCATCGGACCATTTTTGGGACCAAAAATGTCCACGGCAGGTGCAGCACGGGATAGCATGGGCACCTGCACTCCCGGCGCCGTGCTCAAAACTTCCATGGCGGCCTCAGGCGACACCTCCTGGCGATGGGATAGAAATTGGATATAATGTTATGGATATATCCAATTGGATATCCATTATAATTAACATGATAATGGATAATAATTGGATATTGGATAATATTGGATACTGGACATATACCTCATTATTATGGGATGTATAATCAGATTTATATTAACCAGATTTGATGTATAAATGGCATATAATGAGATCAATTGGTATAAATTTGTTGTTAAATAATGTATAAATGGGATATTTGATGAGATTTGATGAGATTTGATGAGATTTGATGAGATTTGATGAGATTTGATGAGATTTGATGAGATAGCCAGTCATGGTTATGGTTCTCAACAGAAAATCAAAAAGATTCCATTTTTGGAAAAATCGTGTATATATTCCTGGGATTTACGGTTGGATGTTTCAGCAAAGTGTATCACTATCGCTAATATACTCAATAATATGAGGATGGGGCTGGGGTTGTCTCAACTTTTCACAAAAATTAGGGTCTGGAGGTACCAGGTGTTGAGAAATGTGTTTTTCGCATGTTTTTGGTTTTGTGGTTTGACGCTTCGGAAGTTAAGTTTGATTTCCTTGATGTCTATAAATCCCTTAAAAATCACTCATGCATTGGTTTAAAATGGTTTGAACATCTTGAAATCCTCCTTTATATCCCAGTGTATCTCACTATATCCCATTATGAATTGGTAGTGTCAAGTTAAGCAAAAACCAGATGGTGGCATCACCACTAAGCATTCAGCGCCTGGTTGGAAGATCAGCAGTTTTTCTTCGTTGCTTGGCATCCCCATTCCACAACGATGAAACACTTGACCACCAAAAAATGATGCAAAAAATACAAAATGGGAATACATACATAATGTATATATATATACATATATGTGTGTATTTATGGCATATATATATATGTAATTATATAATCTATTCTGAAACCCGCTACATGCATATATATAATTATATAATCTATTCTGAAACCCGCTACATGCATATATATTATTATATAATCTATTCTGAAACCCGCTACATGCATATATATAATTATATAATCTATTCTGAAACCCGCTACATGCATATATATAATTATATAATCTATTCTGAAACCCGCTACATGCATATATATTATTATATAATCTATTCTGAAACCCGCTACATGCATATATATAATTATATAATCTATTCTGAAACCCGCTACATGCGAAAAAAAAAAGTGATATAGATTATATAGCTATTCTGAACCCCTACATGCAGAGATATAATTAGATAATCGTATTCTGAAAACCCGCTACATGCATATATATACTTATATTACTCTATCTTACACCCGCTACATGCATAAATAATATATAATCTATAGGAACCCAGCCTACAGCATAGATAGAAGAGATAATCTATTCTGAACCCTTACATGCATTATATAATTATATAATCTATTCTGAAACCCGCTACATGCATATATAAATAATTATCGAATTTTTCCCTATTCTGATAACCGCTACATGGCAATAGTAATTATATAATCGATTCTGAAACCCGCTACATGCATATATATAAATATATAATCTATTCTGAAACCCGCTACATGCATATATATAATTATATAATCTATTCTGAAACCCGCTACATGCATATATATAATTATATAATCTATTCTGAAACCCGCTACATGCATATATATAATTATATAATCTATTCTGAAACCCGCTACATGCATATATATATAATTATATAATCTATTCTGAAACCCGCTACATGCATATATATATAATTATATAATCTATTCTGAAACCCGCTACATGCATATATATATATAATTATATAATCTATTCTGAAACCCGCTACATGCATATATATA